TTGACCTTCTTTGAGGAACCTTCACTGATCACTAACGGAACTCACTTCTCCCTTCTGTCTTGGGGCAGACTTACGAGCCTCGCCAGCAGACGCATAGTGGGTCGCAGTATAGATAGGTGACCATGGCCGAGAGTGACAAGAGAGGCTGCAATGGCCATTTCTGACTCATTGGCCATCATCCGCCAGTCAAACTCAATTCCAGGCGATACACCGAGGTTCAAACTCGTGACCTGTTGATCAGAAGTCTAACGTTCTAAGCACTGAGTCACGAGTTCCTTGTCTTGCCCGTTTTAGGTCGGGAATATTAACAAGTGCTGACGAATGCTCACAGATCGCTAACGGCACTCGCCTTTCTTTCTGAAATTACGAAGTTTTTGTTCCTTGAGTCAACGAAGACAGCAAACTAACCCTGTCAAGAACCATAATAGGCAATAACGGTGTTCCTAAATTATCATTAAAAAACACATTTACTGTTAAACGCAGCGCAAAACCAGGTCGAACGCATGTGGGCCCAACTGTTTGCTTCGTTGTTACATAACTGAAAGCCAACGGATCAAGGCTACCCGTGTGACTATAATCTGACCACAGATTGTGGGCAAATGTGGTTCACAAACCTGATATTCGCGGTGGTCAGCAAAGCGCGGGCAAGAAGCAGTTAAAACAACTGATGTGTTCACCAGCTTCCCTTGCTCTCCCCTCCCCCTCTCCTCGTCCTTCGGAAAAAGGGTATTAACAAAGGGCTGAGCGACTTGCCTTAGAGCTATCTTTGCTAACAATCTCTTCAATGACAGAGGGACGGGTAGGATCCTCGGTGGCCAGAGCCAAGACCATGACGCAGTCGGCCTGACAGAGACAGCGCCGTGTCCACGCTGTGATGCCCTGCTGAGAGTCGCCCACGTAGAAGATCATGCGATGCAGGTCCTCCTGATGGTTGAGCCAGGAACTGAGGCGATACTCATTCACAGGCTCGAGGGCATTGGATCCGACACGTCTGTTGATGATTTCTGCAAGAAGAGGACATAAAAGGCAACAATGAAGGACGCAGTTTTTGCGGTCGCTCGGCAAGAACCAGAGCGGTCCCCTGCTCTCTGTCTTGAAGTTGCAACTTTCTTCAAATCGAAATAAGAGGAGGATGAAAAACTGCACACCGACCTACACATATCGACATGCTCGCGCTAAA